GAGTGTGGGGACCCGGCGCGGGGGCGCCCGGACCTCCTGGCGACGGAGCCCTCAACAGTTCCCCTGTCCACCCCCTCGCCCACCTCATCTGGTGCAACTGGGGGCGCAGCCGCCGCCCCAGGCGCTGGTGACAGAACTTTCTCTAATACAGCAGCCGGCCAGCAAGTTCGAGGATACTTATTTCTTATATTTAAAGAGCTCTTGATGTGCGCAGCATGTCCTTGACTTCTTAAGATTATTAGTGCTTTTCTTTAAGCGATGGCAAACTTTGCCTTAGTATTTTGTAGGAGTTCGTCATAGATTTTCTTCGTTGGAAACATAGACGCAGCTATGCGTGTTACCGGCTCAAGAGCCCCAAAGATTAGTGGCTGGCAGCAAAGGATAGCAAGAAGTTTTTATAAATTGCACTTTTTTGGGGAAAGATAGTGTTTGTTCAAGGGAGTCCGGCCTTTATTCCAACTGTCACATGGAAGTATTGACTGATGGTGAGGAACAGCTGAAATAGATGAAATGGTGAAAGCGTGTAAATACTAACACCACACCTGCTGACAGGCTAGTGGGAGAGGCCGGACAGCCTGCCTGCAACGATAACCACGGAAGGGTAAAAAACAGCTAAAGAAGAATTCTGAAATGTGCCTGCCTGTGAATTTTCATTCCCTTGGTTTGTCCTTTTATAAACGTGGCCTTAAAGTTCTGTCTAGTTTACAGTTTAGACAAGGAGTTACCAGGGCAGCTGGTCACCCAGACCCTGGGCCTGTGGCTCAGTTCTCTGTTGCAGCGGTGGCAGCGCTGACCTCTGTTCTAGAAGGTGGAAACCCACCCACAGCTCAGTCTTGAGGCAGAAAGATCCTGAACAGGTAGATACAACGCTCTGGGAGGGCAAACAACTCTAGTCTTACCGGGGGCCTGAGCCTCGGGCGTCTCTTGTGGTCCAGTGTCGAGGAAGCCGACGCTGTGCACTGCTCAACCTGTGAAGGTGACGATTGTGATGATGGGGAAAAAAGGAGCGTCCGGCCGGTGAATCAGACCTTGCCCAGTTTTCTAGCATTAGGGCTTGGGTGGTGGTTTTAGTCCGTGTGCCCCATTATGCTAGACGTCATATGGACATAAAAGAACAGCTCTTACCTCAGGGCAGTTTGCGTTTCCTGCGAGTTTGGTGCCATCTTCGGCGGCTGGTTCCCCAGGTAATTTCCCGCAGCACAGAGATTGTTGGCTTCAGACTTTGATTTTAAATGTTAGGTCTTCTTAAAAGTAGCAGGTTGGAACCTTTTGTTGTCTTCATCTAAATAGATATTTTTTGATCCCCTAAGTCTAGTTCACTCTTTATGTTTTTCATCAATTCCTGGTCCACCTGAATTAAGGAGACCTGCTTTTTAGAACCTGCACAGTTTATTCCCAACTCTGATCTCTGGGCACCAGGTTTTAATAGAAAAACGTTACAGAACTTAGAGTTAGGCACCACTTTCCTTCCAAACCCAACTTAAAAACTCAGCTCTTAAGTGTTCTCTAGTTACTTCCCACCTGCTTGTTCCTCATCTGTGTGGTTTACATCACTGATTTTTAAACTTGTCCACCCACACATTCTGAATCATCTGGAAGACTTTTAAAAATACTGGACCAACCATCAGATTCTGCTGGGATTGGTCTGTGACATGGCCTGGGCACCAGTTTACTTATTTTCTTGGTTTGTCTATTTTTTTTTCCTCCTCCCAGGTTGATTGACGTATAATATCAGAATTTTAAAGGTCAATTTGGTAAGCTCACAGCTTAGAGAACCATTGGTTACATTGTATTCATTAATATTTGCTTGTCCTGAATTTCACTAACATAGTAATAGTTACCATTTATTGAGCACTTGGGTACACTGTGCTTAATACATTTTAATTTATTTAATCCTCAGGATTCTGTGAAATTAGTGTTTTTATTATCCTCGTTTTACAGATGAGGAAATTTAGGCACTGGAAGATTGAATAATTTCTTCAAGATCATAATGCTTGCATATAAGGAATATACATCTTATAGTTCCTGATTCCAGAGGATAATGAATTAAAATTTTTCTTCTAGTGATTTTTGGGTCGAAAAGAACAAAGAAACAGGTCAACAGCATGGAGAGCTAGTGTTTACAAATAACAAGTAATGGAACAACTGATCTCATATTTTGTTTACATTTTTTTTTTTTTTTTTAGGCGAGACAACCCTTAGTTGACCTCACAGATTGCAAGGACCTTGTCAATTTACAATCCTTTATTTTTTATTTTTTACGCCTATAGCACCTGGTTTTCCTAGGTGGTCTCCCATCTAAGTACTAACCGGGCCCGACTCTGCTTAGCTTCCGAGATCAGACGGGATCTGACTTGTTCAGGGTGGCGTGGCCATAGACTGTTTACATTTTTCTTTTAAAGATTGTTTATTTTTTGTTCCTCTCCCATAGTTAGATTTCTTTCTGTCACCACATATTTGACCCCTTTTACCCCATCATGCTTATACTTTTATTTAGGTGAATGATCTTCAACCCCCCCCAAGTGTAGATTCAGAATAAAGATCATAAAGAGGGACTTGAAACTCATGAGGAATGAGAAACTAGTAGTAGGTCTAGTCATAGGACTCAAAGTTAACACGAATAGTTCTAGTATTTAAAAGGCTTTCAGTAAATAGCTGGAGAAAAATTAAAGCTGGGGCGGGAGGAGTTGAAAAACCACGTCATAAAGTTGAGGACTTAGAAGCCAGAGAGATGAGGGGACTGAGCGGTGCTGCACAGCGGGTTCCGGACTGACACCGGAGTCTCCCCGCTCAGACCATTGTTCTCACGGTGCCAAACCCTTTGTCTTCATCTGGTGAGACAGTTACATGACTGCCCCTCATTCTATTCGTGCGGAGAATTACTTTATCTTTATTTTATTTTCTATTATCTGTTACTTGTAAATTTAAAACACAGAGATGGAAGAATATAAAGAATTGCTGTGTATCCAACGCGCTGCCTCCAGTTACCCCCTGTGTATCCAGCATGCCGCCTCCAGTTACCCACTGCTGGCTGTTGACTGCGTTTTTGCGTTTTTGCGCTTGGCCAGTTCCCCTTCTCAGATCTATGACAAATATCAGACATTGTATTTAATTTGTAAATATTTCACTATGTATCTTTGGAAGACATAGACTTTTAAAACAACAGTGTTGTCATACCTAAAAAATTATGGTAATTCCTTACACCTGAAAATATAGTAATTAACCAGTAAATGTCCAATGTTTAAATTTCTTTGATCGTTTTAGAAATGTCATACATGTTTTCTTTTATAATTTGCTTTTATCAGGATTCAGATAAGGTCTACACATTCCGACTGATTTTCTTTTATTTCTCTTTTAATCTGTAGGTTTTGACCCCATCCCTGTCCTTTTTTTAAAGCAGTTTATTCGGGGTGGGAAGGGTGTGTCCTTAGGCATTCCCACTCTGGGTTTTGCCGGTTGCGTTCCCACGGGGTACTTCAGCATATTCCTCCGACCTGTGTGTTCCGTGCAAACTGACAGCGGCGGTCTAGACGGAGCCCTGACCGCAGGCACATTGGACTTTTCTTTTGAGAAGACGATGTCCTTGGTGGTGGTGTCTTCCACGGAGATTGATTAATTTTCTGATGCTTAACTGACTTGGCACTGCTGGTGTAAGCCAGCTTGGTCCCGACGCCCTGGCCCTTCCCTGTGCTGATTGTGGCGTGCTGATTTGTCCCGCACCCGTGGGGGCGTGGGGGCCAGGACTCCAGCCCCCTGGCAGGTGATGGCTTTCGGTCCCGTCCCGGGGGCTAGGGCTATACACCTGGAAGCACCTGCCCGAGCACCGGACCTCGCCTGCCTGTGTCTCTCTGGTCTCCCCAGCAGCTGGCAGTGAAGCTGGGGACAGGTCTCCATGGACCCCTGGTGTCTGGGAGGAGAGCCGGGCCCGGCATGGTGCGGGCCAGGAGCAGCCACCAAAGGGCTGCCTGGCCAGGCAGTTTACAGTGAAAGCTCCACCCCACAGGTGAGGACATGCTGGCCCGGCCCTGGCCCTTGTGTGAGGAGGGATGGGTCAGGCCGCCTGCCTGAGGGACCGTCCGGTTCCGGCCCGTCTTCCCACAGCTGCCTGCCACACCGCAGGCAGGTGTTAGGTGCTCATGCTGGCAGGACCAGGGAGAATGGCAGTTACCCAGCCTCAGAGGGCTCTTCCTGCCACAAATGGACGTCTTCCTCCCCCAGGGCCCCCCCTCCGTCTTAAATAGCAGTCCTGGGGTGGGGGGGACAGGCAGACTGCACGTCATCGGGGCGCACGGGGGAACTACATCTGCCACCAGCGAGGTAAACTCGTTATAGTGCAAGACTGAGGGTGACAGCGGATCCACAAAGTCCACCTGAAAAGGGAGGGGTTCCCGTCAGCGGTAACTAAGAAACGTGGACGCTGAGCGAACACCCCCGGCGCCTCCATGCTTGCCGTGTGGCGTGTGCGCAGCTCCAGAGTCGGGATCGCCGGGCCGGCTCCTTCACGGCTCCTGACCGAGCCCGCAGGGGAGGAGACGCAGTTCTGGAAGGGGGAGCAGGTGAACGTGCGCGGTTAGGGTGCGGCGAGTTCTTTCGCCTCTTGCCGCTGGCAGAGCTGGCATCTCGGCCGGCCGTCCTCCAGCTCTGTAGCCAACCCAGTCTGCTTGGAGGAGGCGGGCAGCCCTGACCTTGGTGACACTGGCAGCCAGCAGCCCTCAGCCCCAGCGGCTCTGCCTCTGCACTCACTGGGTCCCTTTGTGTGAATTGCCTTCTGTTTCTGAGACTCTAAATATCACAGAGGCAAAGGCTGTGGTGGTGAAGTCCAGAAATATTTGCAGAAAAGTAGGGTATTTGGAAAGACTTTGTTAAAAAAAAAAAAAAGGAAATATGGTGATTGGATACTGTTCTTAGAATGATGGGTACAGTTTTAAAGATCTGTGGATCGCAGCCCTGCCGCTACTTTCCCAGAAGGATTCAGAAGTCAGTCTGCTGTGAAATCAGCCTATTTCGACCCTGTTTGTGGGTTGGAGTTTCAGGTCTCAAGCGTCAGACCTGGGTGTCGTCTGCCAGCAGGGCCCTGTCAGCGTTCACACAGGGAGGAGGACCTCAGTCCCTTCTGTGCGACGTGCTCGCCCTTCATTTGGGACTTTCCACTTTGGCCACGCTGCTTGTGGCCCGTCTCTACTTCCCACTGACACTGAGCAAGACACTCTTTAGAGTGTCTTAGAAATGATTAAATGCAAAGATGTTTGAGTCTGCAAGAAGAAGCGAATGTAGAATGAAATAGTCATACCGAACTAGTCAGTAGGGTGCAGTCAGTAGTCAGCGGCGGGGTGTGAGCTCTGTCATCTGCGACCTGCGGCAGCAGTGGCCACGCAGGCGACAGCTGTGTCTTGACTGCTCCCCCGCTCCCGCTCCCTTTCTGCAGCCAGTGGTCAGCCTGGCTCCCCACTTCCCCTGCAGCTCTGACTCGGCCACCCGCGCCCGTGCCGCCCTGGCCTCCCATCACCTGTAAGCCGTACCCCAGCACGTGCCGCGGGGTTCTGAGAGTGTCTGGGGAAAGCTAGAAACTCGTCAGGGACCGGCGGCTTCGTCCAGACACTTGGAAATGCCGACAGCACCTGGTCTCCCTAGATGGTCTCCCGTCCAGGTACTCCCGAGGCCCGACCCTGCAAGTGCATGTTCTGTAATGGACTGGCGACCTTCTTTCCAGGCGGCTGTACCATTTTGCATTCCCATGAGCCATGTGAAAGAGCCCAGTCGTTTTATGTCCTCGACAGCACTCCTATTGTCATAGTTTAGTTTTGCTTTTTTTAGCTACATCAGTAGGCGTGAAGTGGCGTTTTGATTTGCATTTCCCTAATGACTGATGATGCTGAATAGGTTTTTGTTTGCTTATTTGCCATCTGTATATCTTTGCAGAAACTTTCATTTAGATATTTTGCTCCTTTTTAATTTGGATTTTCTGTTTTCTTACTGAGTTTTGAGATGTCTTTATGTGTTCTGGAAACCAGTCCTTCTCCAGATCTGCGTATATTTTCTCCCAGTCTGTAGCTGGTCTTTTCGTTTTCTTAATGGTGTCTCTAGGAGAGCAGACGATTTTAACTTCGGTCAAGTCCAATTCATCTATTTTTTGTTTTATGGATTGTGTTTTTGGTGTTGTTTCGAAGAAATCTTCGCCTAATCTAAGGTTGTATAGTTTTCTACTATAATTTAGAAGTTTTACAATTTTAGACTTTACGTTTATATCCGCTTCATTTTGAGTTAATTTTTGTATATGGTGCAAAGTACAGGGTGAGATTCTTGTTTCTCGTTACGGCATTGAATTATTCCAGCACGGGTTGGCTACATTCCGTATAGTGTCAGTGTTAACAGTACGTATTATAGCTCTTTTAATTTGGACATTCCTGGGCACGATCTTAAAAAGAGTTTGCTGACGAGGGACGTTCACACATCTGGACTGTTCACCTTCTAACACCGGAGATTCGTTGAGCCATGTGCTAACCTCACGCATTTCGTTGAAGCTCTCAGGGTTCTGCCCGCCACGGAAATCTCGCCACGACTGGATAGGACCCCCAGATAAACATTCAAACCTTCGACCCGTCCACTTTTACATCCCTGAAGATGAATCACCATCAGAGCGAAAGCTGAGAGAATTAAGACAGGAAACACAAGAGTGGAACCAACAGTTCTGGGCAAACCAGAACGTGACGTTTCTTAAGGTAAGTCTGGGTCTCAGGTCCGAATGGGAAGCAATCCAGGTGGCCACTTGGGGTGCGACGTCCTTAGTATTTGCTTTGCCTTTCAGTCCAGCAGATTCTCCAATGTGTTGTTCAGTGTCTTTTCCTTATACCACTGGCGACGTGCCGTAGGAACTTTTATCTGTGTAATTAGCGGGTGGCAAACTGGTTTGGTTATGTATATACATCATTTCAGCACAGTTCCAAGAGCTCATGGACGGTGTTAAACTGTTGGTGGTGTCTCGGTCCTCGCTTCTCTCTCTCTCTCTCTCTCTCTCTCTTTCTCTCTCTCTCTCTTTCTTTCACATGCACACACACACACATATATATGTATGTATGCATATAATTTTAAAATGGATATGTAATTGTACATAAGAAATATCGATCATTCATTGAATCACAAATCGTGAGACTTTCAAGGAAGAGGAGCATCAGAGCCAGCACTGGAACTCCATGTTCTACGTGTGTAGGGTGTGTGTGTGTGTGTGTTCAGGGTTTCTGTCATCTGTCGTCATTCTTCCCGAGAATTCAGAATTCTTAGCATTCTCGTAAATAAATTATGTGAGAAAGAAGTGTAAATATTCTAATCCAGAAGAAAAACATTTAAGTTTTATTTGTTTATTCATTTGGGCAGACTCAGTCAAATGGAGTGTTTTTATTTTATTCTACGGATTTTATAAACAAACAGTGCCTCCCAAAGTTTATTCAACATCTTATTTCAAATCCTACTTCAAGCATGAAACTTGTAGCCGAATTCAGGTGGTTTAAACAGGCTTTGAGAGGCCGCCTCTCACGGCCTCCACTCCAGACCTCTCCAGACCACTACGAGCTGTGTCCTGGCTGGGGGGACGGGGGGCGGGGGGCCCACAGAGCTGTCTCACAGTTGTCTTCTTTCAGGAAAAAGAAGAATTTATTCACTCAAGACTAAAAGCCAAAGGCCTGGGACTAAGAGCTGAATCAGGTTAGTTCGTTTGTTCTTTTCCTGCTAACATCGTTTTTGTTTGAGTAACTGCACAAGGAGATAAAGAGAGGGGTGTTGAGTGGAGGAGAGAAAGTTCAGGGGGCCGCTCCCTGTCCTGTTGGGGGCAGGTGCCCGAGGGCGCACTCAGTGGGACACACGCCTGTCTCCCTCCCTCCCCCTTTTCTCTCTTTGGGTGATATCAGCCCTCTGGTCATTCTAGGTCATTCTGACTCATGACCTCCCTCTGACCTTTGGACTCAGGTCCTGAGGTCCTGTGGCTTCTGCCACCCGTCACCCGCACCAGCTCCCCTTGCCGTGTTCCTGATCTCGGTTCCTGGTCCTGCAGCTCACATGAGCCGGAAACCAGGGAGTCCCCCTCAGAGCCTCCCGAATCACGCGTCTCCGGCAGGCTCCCCCCCGAGACCGTCTGCTCGTCTGCACCGCTCCCTCTGCCCTTTTAACATGGCTTCCGTTCAGCTCGTGTTCATTCTCTGCCTGTCGCAGTAACTTCCTCATTGGTTCCTTGGCCTCCAGTCTTGAAGTCAGGGGCGGGCAAGACTGTTCTGTACAGGGCTACATAGTAGGTCGTCGGTCCTTGTGGGCCACAAGGTGTTTAACCCGTTCAGCTCTGCTTCGTGGTGTGAAAGCAGCCCTGGAAAACACATGAACGAATGGGCAGACGTGTCCCAGTGAAGCAGTATTTACGGGCGTGCGGGCTGTGGCTTGTCTGCTCCCGCCCTAAATCCATTCTTTGCAGTGAAGCCAGACTGTCCTTCCCCAAATTCAAATCTGACACTTGCCGCTTAGCTTAAGTTTTGGATCCCTCACGTCTGCAGAATGACAGCTGTGCCCGTCCCCTGCCCCCTCCTCCACATCCTGTCCCCCGTACCATGCACTAGATGTGCCACGAGTGGCAGACTGCACCCAGCTCCCTCTGCCCACCATGCCACCCTTTCCCTTCGGACAGAAAGGCTAGTGCTCACAATAACCGTCAGCCATTTTCTCCTGGTGCTGACGAAGGCCTGAGTCACATTCCAGACTGTTCGTTAGACAGATGTCTGCTGTCAAAACATTGTTCTAATGGAAAATCCAAAACCATTGGCCCCAAAGTCAAGTGTGTCGCTGGGCCAAAGCACTCAGCCTCGCCTGGCTTCCTTTGTTGTAAGTGGGGAGGGGACGTGGAGTGACCCCCGCTGGGCGAGCATGGAGAAACAGCTCACAGTTCCAGGTCCTGACTGTGCCTAGTTCTGTGCTCAGCCCTTTGCCCATGTCATCACATGGTGACCACCGAAGCAGGCACCGTTACTTTATAGTTCTCAGGTGAGGGCAAGTCCCACAGGAGTGAGTGGCAGGGCCTGGGCTCTGGCCTGGAGAACTGGGTCCGAGGGCTTGCCGGCCACAGTGGCTTGCAGCTCACCCCGCGATGTCCGAGCTTTGTGGGCCGCAGACGCTGCACCCCGGTCAAGCATGCGCCAGCCCCCTCGTCTGCCGTCAGGGTCCGGCGGGGCTGGGTGGGCGCCTGTGGGGAGACAGACAGGTGGGAGGGACTGTTTTCAGTATTCCTGTTTATATATGTCACAGTTTATATAGATGTTGATGGCTTTACTCAGTACCAAAAGGCTGGCCTGAGATTTAAAAATTAATTTGGTAACAAAACAGGAAAAACTGTATTGTGGGAAGGACACACGAAGGGAGGCGTCTGCTCTGCCAGCTGTTTAGACACGTACCAGGCTGCAGTGACAGACGTGGGGAAGGGCTCGAACGGGTTCGTCACCTCAGTGGGCAGGAACGCTCACATGATGGGGGAGTGTGCGGCCCCGCAGAACTGGGAACGGGGGTTTCGTTTAATGAGTGACGCTGGAGAAACTAATGACTTTTGGCCCCAAAGGATACATTTAGATTCATGCCCCCAATACTACAAATTTATTCCAATGGATCAAAAAGGTAATTATTAAAAGTCAATCGTTTATGGGTTAAAATGTTAAATACGCAGCTCCTGGCCACAGAGTCGCTCCGAGCTTGATGGGTAACGGAGAGACGGCCGTGAAGACTGACCTTGACCTCGGCCGTGTGTGTTCACACGGGCTTCCTTTGACCCTTCGGTAGAGGAGAGCTTGCTGAGGGGACACAGTGGCTTCGACCTGCACTCAGAGGGCACCGGGGGAGCTAGGACACGCTCTCTCCCTGTTTCAGGTCCTGTCTGCGTTCAGCATTCCCCGTGTGAACAGACATTGTCCCGCCCAAGGCCGAAGAAGCGGCCAGCCCGAGGCTCTCCCGAGGCACTCGGGTGGTGGGGTGATGTCCCAGGATAGCAGAGGCCCAGCGTGAGGGCTGTGTTGAATGAGCATGGCTGCTGCCATGGAAACGGGCTGGAGGCGGCGGAAGGGCTGCACCCAGCAGACAAAGGGGAACAAGCTCATGTGAACAGAGATTGGGGGCGTTTGCGACAGAGATGAAGGGGCAGCCTGGACCTTATGAAAAGCCTGAGAAATATGTAAAAGTAGCAAAACACCTGTAGGCACACAGGATGATGCCAAGAAGAAAAATCGCTCCACCTCTGAATTGTACCGTGCGCGTTAAAGCAGAACCGGGCCTCATCTTCTGCTTACTGAACGCACAGGGCTGTTTGTTGACCGGCCTCGGTGCCGGTGCACTGCTCATGGATGCTGGTGGCAGCAGGAAACGCCCCACCGTTTTCCCAGGACCTAGCTCCCTGTAGTACCCACATGCCGAGAACAGGGAAGTCATGACACACACCACTGAGAATTCATCCTAGAGGAAAACACGCCAGACACAGGAAAACCTGTGTGTTCCTGGTAGTGTTTTCACTGCAGAAGAATGGGGACTCTCTAACTGCCCAGGAACGGCGGCCAGATGAGGCCGTGGTGGCCCTGCACCGGGTGGCCACGGGAAGGTTCTGCAGCAATGCAGAGAAATTAATGACTTAATGTCAGATACAGACAGCAGAATGCCGTGACTTCAGCTCTGCCCGTCCCCAAATTAAGTCTCGTTTGCAGAGCAGGCAATGCTGTGGGAGGATTCTTGCCTCCGGTTTCTGTTATCGCTGACGTGTTCATGTGGTGGAGGAAAAAGCAGCCATCGAGATGGGTTTACTGTAAGTCAGCTGGTGCTTAGGAACCGCCCGCCCGGTTTTCAGCGAGTATCCTGTCACTCACTCTGAGTCGGCTTCACAGCGCAGGCAGTAGGACAAGTGCAGAATCTAAACCAGACAGCTTCCGTGGTGCTTCTGGGGGTGTGTTGGGGCAAGACACGAAACCAGAGCCAGGGCTGGAGGTGGCACCAGCCTGTCTTCACAGCTCTGGGGCTTCTGCTGTCCTGCCAGCAGCGGCAGTGGGTGAGCGCGTCTGTGCCGCCCACCACCGCCTGGCTGGAGCTCAGAGCGACCCAGAGCAGCGGCCCACGCTTCAGAGATAAGAGGTCACTGCCCCGGCCAAGTGCAGCCGCTAAGCCTCGCTCTCAGGAGGGCGCCCCATCCCCCCAGTCCCTCGCGCTGTGGCGAGTGGCTGAAGAGGTGCCAGGGAGCCGACTGGCCGGAAGCCCCGGCACCACTGCTCAAAAGGTGCTGATGCTCTCGAGGCCTGAAGCCGCGACAGTCTACAGCCATGCCACCCTGGATGCGCCCAATCTCGTCTGATCTTGGAGGCTAAGCAGGGTCGGGCCTGGTTAGTACTTAGATGGGAGACCATCTAGGAAGACCGGGTGCTATAGACGTAAAAAATAAAAGTTAAAAAAAAAAAAAGCTCTGTGCCCGGCCCCTACCCTGCCTGCCTCTCACTCTCCGCTCGGCCTCGGCTGTGCCCAGACACGGTTTTCTGCCCTTTCTCTGCCCCCTTCATGGCCCAGCTTAAATGTCCCCTTCCCTGGGGCCTTTGGCTTCCTCCCAACCCGGCAGCTACTCGTTCCCTTTCTTGCCCCCCTTACCCTCCATTCGTTCACTTACCAAACATCGGCCAGGCGCCAGGCCCGGCGCCGGGACGAGAGGTGGGTGGCGGGTGAGGCAGCCGTGGCCCCCTCCGAGGAGCCGACATTCTCATGTGGGACGGAAGGGCGACCAGAAAACAGTATTAAGTTCAAAACCAAGAGCAGGGGACATCTCATTTATTTCGGTCTTTCATTGCTTTCGACCAAGTGTGGTAGTTGTTCAGTGTACCGTCTTCCACTTGCTCTCAAATTGATTCCTAAGTCTCTCATTCTTTTTGACGCTATCGTAAATGGAATTCTTTTTTGAGTTTCATTTTCATAGTGTTTATTTCTGGTGTATAGAAATACAGTTGCTGTTCGTGTATTGATCTTGTATCCTGCAACCTTGCTAAACTCGTTTCTTTAGATCAATAGTTGTTTGTGAGTTCCTTTCCTTAAATATTAATGTTTAAGTTGAAATTTATTTTCAGGTCAAAAAGCAACATTGAATGCAGAAGAAATGGCTGACTTTTACAAGGAATTTTTAAGTAAAAATTTTCAGAAGCACATGGATTATAACAGGTAGGAATTTTCTTTTTTCCTAAAAATTTGAACATCACAGCCGTGTGGCATAGGATCATCTTACCTGAGTTCAGTGACGTTCATGCTTGCCTTGATGGGAGAGTGGCTGTAAACTCTGTATTTGTATTTTAAACGAGATGGGCAGTGTGAAGTCATTGCATGGCAGTGCCACAGCAGTCACACCCAGGACGCCTGGACAGTGGGTTCAG